TGGTGGATCGACAGCCGTGGCGTGCAAACTGGGTGTACCGACCGTTCGATCACTCGTATAACACGACCTACGTGCCATGCAATCGCAAGGCTCGGGTCTTCTGCCTTCGCGGTGTTGATGCCGCGATGGCTAACCAAATCGCCAGGGCGATCATTGCCAACCCGTGCCTGCAACCTCCCGGGTTAATTCCGAACTGGCAAGAGCACTATCTCACAGGAGCAGTGCCTGGGGATTCGACTGCGGCTGTGTCGACAATAGGCAGCGGTGGAGATGATTCTAGTACTCCCGCTCCTCCGCCAGCAGCTCGTTCGATCAAGAAGAGAAGGAGAGCAGCGGTGACACGTCTCTGGGCGTGCATGCTGAAGCTGTTCGTTGACTCTCGTCTGATTGAGCACTCCGTACTCGTCTCTTCACCTTCGTTTGCTCTGTGTCGATCTCCTGCGGGCACTCCCGATCATTCTCTCTTAGTAGTCGAAGTTTCACACGCTTTCATGTCTTCTTCCAAATCGTAATCACGTTCATGTAAATTATCATATGCATTTACAAGTTGTTGGTGCAGTAATTCTTTTCGTCTGCTATCACAGGCTGCACCGTCCTTGTAAACAGTTCACGCGTGTTCAAGCCACGCTAATCCTCGTCAGTGACCTGAACCATCTGCAGCCGATGTTTGCTCTTTTTGTCCCGCAGATAGTCGTACAACAAGCCTCCATACGACAGGTTAGATGATGGTTCCCAAGTGGGTTCATCATAGCCGACCCATTTGACATTGAACTCTCGCACGGCTCGTTCAGTGCTCGTCGACAGTTACATTCGGTTATCGAGGATGGTCTCGACCTCATATTCCCCTGCAAGGTGATCCGGTTCCCAGCTATCTTCAGGCAACAGCTCCTCATCGAAGTCAAGCCTTATATCCTCGGTTACATCTTGCGTCAACCGAGTCTTCGGTCGACTTAGATACTCGTTTACAGTCTTGAGTCTTGACACGTGCACCACGGGGTAGAAGCGGTATCCGCTCTTTTCTGGTAACTCCAACTCGTGCGCGAATTCTTCAACCTTTCATTTAATCCGGAATGGTCCATGCCAGCGATGTGCTAACTTCTTGGTAAGGCCGGGTTTTACGCGTTCCATATAAAACCACACTCTACCTCCAATCTCGAAAAGAAACCTCGGGGGGTAGGCTCTCGACAGCATCGTTCAGCACTGACGAAGCTTCTGGGTCATCCACCGAGCATCCATTTTTCTTGGTCCTGGAACAGCTGAAGCGTGAACGAGCGGGCGAGGGCGAGGCAGTTTTCCGACGCTTGGACTTCGGCTTGTTCTTTCAAGCTTTTGGCTGGTGGAGACCTTGACGACTGGGAGTTGGACTTGAAGCAGCCGCAGCCGTTTTTCGCCAGTAGCAGCTGGCGACCCTGCTCTACTACCTCGACCAGATGGAACTGGAGTCTTCTCCTCAGATGAATCATCGGAGCTGCCATCGTCACTTCCATGACGACTACGCTTGGAAGCACTGCTCTGAACTTGTTGAGCAGTCTTAGCCAAGGCTACAGCAAGAGCGAACGGATCTTCTTGGTCGCCCGCCTCTTGTTGAATTTGCTGAAGAGCGAGGAACGTGTCTTGGTCAAGATCGAGTGTTGAAAGGTCGACCTCGGCAGCTCGAAGACCTACAACGAGAAAGAATGAACGCAAGTTAGCGAACGCGTGATCGGGAGAAACCTCAAGGACATCAACTGACCATGAATGGCGAGAACAAGAGTGTTGGGTTCCATGCCGGCGAAGCTAACGAGGAGAGCGCGGTTGGTGCAGAGTAAGCGCAAATTGCGGTCTTTGAGATCGGCAATCAACGCGGCGGTGTCAACGTCGACCCATGTACCCTGCGTAGCCTTGAGCAGCAAATCATGGAGCTTGCGAGTGTTCTCCGTATTCGCGCTGACCGCCGTCTTGAAGACCTCGCGCTCCCTCTTAATCTGTTTGTCCAAGGCGTCGATGATGTCCTGCTTCTGCTCGGCATAGTTCATGGCGAGCCGAAGGTTCTCTGTCTGAACGTCCATCGACTCCTTACTCTTTTCGAGAAGGGAGCCAATGCGAACGTTCGCTGACTTGAGG